ATCCCCAGAATGACCACTTTTTCCTATTATCTATCTGTTATTTCACTCTTTATTTATATTTTCGGTTTTTCATATAAGAGAAACCATGTTATATTTAAGCTTATGTGTCAGATTTATTTCACTTAACATTATAGCCACAAGAAGCATCCATTTTCCTACGACTCAAATTTATCCTTCTTTATGGCAGAGTAATACTCCATTGGGTGTAAATACTACATTTTCTTTATCCATTCATCTATTGAGGGACACTTAGGCTGCTTTAAAGATTTAGCTATCATGAACTGTGCTGCTATAAACATGAGTGTGGACGAATCACTGTAATCTATGTCTTTAACTCTTTCAGGAAGATGCCTAGAAAATGGATAGCTTGTTCAAATGGAATTTCTAGTTTTTATTTTTTGAGGAATCTCCAGAACGGCCACTTTTGACTCTTTCAATTATCAAGGGTTTTTTAAACTAAGACTTTGGTTACTTCTCTTACCCTTACACTTTCCAGTCTCAACACTTCTAGAAAGCAAAGCCGTTTAGTTTGGTCAAACTGAACATGCTGTATTCTGGCACAGCGCTGGCCCAGGTTTCCTCTCCCCAGACCCTCCCTGGAGGGTGCCACAGAGGGCAGCCCTGAGAGGAACTCGTTCCCCCCCTGGGCAGCAGCCAAGGTATCCCGGAAGGGTCTGAACTGTCCAGGCCTCCGAGGCTTCTACAGAACGAAACGTGTGTCACAGGAGGGGCACACGGGAGAGGACACCCTCCCCTGGGCTGGGCACTGCTGGCCAGGGCTTGTGAAGCACAGGCAGGAGAGGGTGCAGGACCTATATCTGTCCCTTGGGCCTCTATCTCCTGCACACGGGTCTCCTCTTGGCCTGGCTGCCAGGCACAAACTGAGCTTGGTTAGCCGGGCTTGGAAGACCTTACTCCATGAAGCAGTGCACACGGCACAGAGGCCCCACTGCACCTGAGGTGGCTTCCAGCAAGGCAGTTCTTTGCAGGCAGGGCCATCTGTCCAGTGCACTGGCTGCCACAGCTGGAACATCAGAGCACCAGCGAGGAAGCCAAGGGACAATGACAGAAGCCACCAGAGCAGCTGCTCATCACGTGCAATCGAGCAACGGTGGGGAAGCACACGCTGCAGTGAGCGCTCTCACAGCCCGAGCAGGGCTCCTGGACTCCAGGCGGCATCACACCCCAATAGACCCAGCGTCTGTGGGACATCTGGTCAGAACTGCACTTCACCTGCCTGCCTCAGGGTGTCCAGAACTGACAGCCGGCTGCGGCCAGAAAAGTAATCTTCTCAAAGCCCATTTCCCACAAGGTGTTGTTGACATCTGTGCTATGCACTAGGGGGTGCAGGGTTTGCCCTGGTGATTGTGAGCGGTTGGCAGCCTTAACTCCAGCCTTGACCCAACAGGGAGAGAGACAGCGCATCACCTATCCCTGTCCCAGAAAAGACCCAACTAAACACTCAAAGTTTCTGGTGAATGTGGATCAGTTTCACACCACTGTTAAGTTCCCAAATCGTAAGTCAAACCGTGTAATAGGGACATCTATACAAGGTCACTCCACCTGCCTATTTCTGAGATTGACGCTCACCTTATACCTTTACAGGTAAGAAATTAAAGTTCAAGGAAGACAGAAGGATTTGATGGCGATCCCACCTGCTCAACAGGAGCTCACTTTGTGTAATTTGACTTCAAAGTTCTTTCATCCCCAAACCAGCCCACCACCGAGCGGCACAGGGCGGGGCCTGGAAGGAACCAGATGCCAGCAGCTTTGCTGGAGATACTCAGCATCAGGATTCTGTAAAGCACTGTGGGGTCTAGGCTCTCGATTTCCAGAGCACGCTCTGATTCTCATGATCGCCCCAGTTTGGAAACGACTGGCCGACTCCAATGGAAACAGAAAGTAATCAATTAAAAATGATGAAGTGTTCAAGATAAAATTGGTTGGGTACTGGACACTACAGACAGTGGTGGCCCCGAACCTCAGTGTGTATCTGACTCATACTTAGTCATTTTGAAAATGTACACTCCATATCATGACCTCAGAACACCAGTATTGGGTGCTGTTGGTGAGGCTGCAGTTTTGTGAATCCCAGGTAAGTAGTAAGGTCACGGCGTTCAGTGCACCGAGGACCGGGACCCGTGGCCTCTGTCAGCTGTGCTTGTGCAGCTCCTCGAATGATCCCCAGGAGAGGTCCCCTGTGTTTGCTGAATGAACAAACTTTTCTCCCTCAGGGAAGAATAGCTCAGCTCCATGGAGACGGCTTGGCAGTGCTGCCCCAGGACCTGCAGGTGTGGCTGCAGTGCCCCCTGCCCGGCACTGACAGCAGGCACTGAAGCGCAGTTTCTGCTCATTTATTTCTTCTTTCCATCTACAGACGGGCAGCTGCTGAGGGCAGGGGAGATGCATCATTTTCTAAACGAATCTCCAGTGCTGAGGACAGTGTCTGGAATACCAGGATGTGTGTGCTCAATAAATAATCTGTAAATGCAAAACTGGCGTTGTATCTCCTAAAGACGGAGTCGACTTAGCTCTGGCATTTATTTCCCTGGCTCCAAGCCTGATCACATGTCCTCCAGAGAGGAGATGAGAAGAGTGCTGAAGGCAAAAGGGGAGTGGGCATCAGGAGGGGACCTGGGGCCTGAGGCACAGCACCAGCCTCAGCCAGACGTGGCAGCCGGGGCTGCAGGTGAGGAAGTGTCTCCCCAGGCCCAGACCCATACATCAGAGCTGTCACGGCGGAGCTGCCTCTTGCATGGAGGACAGCTGCCCCGCCGGCCGGATGTGCGTGGCCAGTCAAGGTCACTGTCCAGGCTCCGACCTCTGCTGTGTCTGGCCTGGCACGCCCGTCTTCTCAAAGTGGATTAGATCCCTGCCCTGCTGCCCAGAGTGGCCCTGCAGACTGCCGGGCCTGGCCAGGGCCGAACCCTGAGGATGGCCGTGGCTCCAGTCCCTGCCTGGGCCTGAGTCACACTTGCTCCCTGACCGCAGCCCTGTGCACTAGCTCAGACACTGCGGTGCACCTCCCCGCCCCGCCCGCCCCACCCTCACTGTGTCATCCCCACCTTTGCCTCTGTTCGGAGGAAAAGGAGAAGCCGAGCTGTGGCTGACGCCCGGAATCAGAAATTGAGTTATAACCGCAAAAACAGCAGTGAATGGATAGATGGATGGATGGATGAATGAATGAAGCACTTTTAAAACACTCGAGTAAGGAGGAGACATTCCATGGCGTGCCCTCTGTCAGGACCATAAAACCGCTTCCATCCTTGCCCTGACACTGGCTAACCACCAAGCCGGGCTGAGCCGCGTCCCGCAGACCTGGACCCATCCCACCCCTCTGCGGAAGCCCCAACAAGCGCTGGGTGCCCCTGCTGCTGACACGGAGGACAGAGGAAGGGGCAGGACACGCACCGGAAAGATCCTTCCCAGACACGATGCCCGAGACTGGGACTGGCCCCAAGCCTGCCCCTAGCGGGGCACCAGCCCTGTTCCACAGGCTGACAGGGGTGTGGAAGCATCGGGAGTCTCCGCGGGTCCTGGCTTTGGGGCTTGCAGCTCTTTCACAAGATTCTCTTTCTCCTGCAGCGTTTCTCCACACGAAGCTGCGCACATGCACACGCGGGCACCTACAGATGTCTCTGCACACCCGGAAGCACGCGCACGCATCCCCAGAAGGTGTCTGCAGCATGCCCATGTGGACAGTCTCCTGAGCAACACAGACACGCGCGAGCACGGCGGCGGGTGAATCTCGGAGCAAGCGGCTTTGCGAGGCTGGGGAGGCCCTGCTGGCCCGCGAGGTCCGCTCTGCCCCGCGGCCCTGGCCGCCTCCTGGCCGGGAGAAGTGCGCGCACTGGCGTCTTCCACTGAGACGCTGTTTTTATTAGAAACGGTGTGAACTTTAAAAAAACAAAAGGGAATAGCAAGGGGGGTCCACTGCCCCCGAAACCCTGGGAGCCGAGCTCCCAGAACCCCCAGGACTCCGCGCTGGTCCCCGGCTCTGGGAGGGACCCCAGTTCCTTGAGCTCCAGCGGCTCCCGGACGCCGGACGCCCCGCTTTCACCAGGAGCGGGCCGGGGTTCGGCTGGGACCAGGGCCGCGCCCCGCCCCGCCCCGCTCGGCCGC